AAACCATATATATACGATTGTACAGCTTGATGATAAATTCGTTGAAAAGAGTCTCTTCGCTGAATCATTTGTTTTGATTTTCTATATGTTACAATGGGAATTTCTCATGAGTTAAATTGAGCATCCAAAATTGAGTATCACGAATTAATTTGCAACTGGCGAATTTGATTTCGTGAAATATCACTTCTGTAAACATTAAAAGAGTAGATTAGTTGATATATGTAGTGACCTAAACTCCACTAATTACTATCCACCTGTAAATAAAGTCTTCTTTCTTAATGATATTGACAATATTTACAAACACTGACCAAACGAACGCGATAGATATGTAGGCCGTTCGTCATCAAAATAAATAAATAAGAAGAGAAAAATGTTTAAATTTTTTGTTTAATTAAAACCAAAACACATGTAAATGCATTAGTTAAATTGAGGAAATCAACTAAATTCTCTAATAATATTAGAATAAACCATTTACAGATAATTAATTTACTAGAAGTATCACCTGTTCATCTTAAACTTCATAAACCAGTGACATCTAATAGAGATAGAGAAATTAAAGTTTTTCTCTTCGACAAGAGATCTGATAAATCAAGGCTTTAGTAGACTAGTGATATTTTTCAAAAACTAGAACATAAAACTTCATGAATTTAAACCTGACTGTTCATCAGCTCCTATTTAGGGTTATAGGAACCAATAACCGAAGGACTCAGTTTGTATGATTGCTGATAAAGGTTTACCTATTCAGCGATCACTGTGGCTATGCTTTATAGTGAAGCATAACTGAAAGTTCCATTGAAGTATTCAAGGGTTTTCCTGACTGCTTAGGACTTAAAATAATTTGTGGTTTCAGAAACACATTAATTATTTCAGTAGACTGTAGCAGTTAGTTAGGGTTCCTATTAGCTCACTTAATATAGGTGAAAATGTCAGCATCTTAAAAGTGGTACTCTTCTAAATGTTTGAGATTACCTATTTTTATTTTCACCTTGAAATTTTTTACTCTTTATCATGCTAAATTTTGTTCTTTTCTTAGCTACAAAGCTTTTTCACCTAAGGGACTTTTGCTGATATGAAAATCTTGGTATTAATTTCCGGTTATTTTGTCTTTATCAGACTGATTCAGAGTATTCAGTGAATTTGATTCTGTACTCTTGTAATCTTAAGGATAACATATTGACTAACTCAAGAAAATGAACTTCAAGGTAAAATTGAGAGTTAGAACTTACACGAGGTAAATATGTACTGAAAAGCAGTTTAGAAAAGTCTAAGCTACAATAAAGCTTTATAGGTCACAAACTCACTGATGCATTAAAAGTTGGATATTTTAATCCATTTATTATAAAGTAAGTTGAATAAATGCCTTATCTGCATCTGCATAAACGGTCAACTCCAAAAATGTGACTAGGAATTCGGTTTCAAACTACCAAAAACACCATTCTGACGCAAGTATGCAGTTACAATTATTAAGTGTAAAGGATGTTCAGCGATAGACTAAATAGAAAACCCCTCCTTCGACTAACTTCACACTAAAAAAGTTAACCTGCCGAAAACAAGTAAATCCACAAATCTAAGTACTACAACAAAAATATAGTGGGCATTTAGAAAGTGCTCCATTGAAAATAGTATCATATAGCATTAATATTCTTTCGGAAACTTATTCAAAAATTTGAGTATTATATTTCAAATTTTCTTATTACACATTTTGAGAAAATAAAGTTTATGAAAGCCTGAAAGTAGTTTGAATCTTAACTTCAGGAAGCCAACTGTTGTGTGTTAAGTAGGTTGAATTCAACGACATTCAGCTTATGTGATCCCGAAAACATCCCAGTCAATAAAAGTGAAATGTCCGTGGATATGTGTGTGCATAGCTTAACGTCAATAATACACTTAATACGTGCCTTAAGTATTTGATGAATTTGAGAAATTGTGTAATTTAGATACATTTTAGTTAATTAAGTTCTAGTTCATGAAGATGTTTGCAATTATGACAGTTAACTTGTTGAAAGTTACGCCTAACTAAGCTGCTATGATTCTTGATATTCATCAGGAAAACAGATAGAGAATTTTGTCCTTCAGTAACCTCAATACGCATCATAGCCTATGGAAGCATAATCTGAGTTAGAAATAAATTCACCGATAGGATGAATATAAATGTAAGTGTGCAGAAGAAAATTAGCTACAATGAACAGATTTACCAAGTGCATTTAGTGTATTAGTGATGATACACTGTCGCTTAAGCCTACTGTACCAACTAGAACAACTCAATACTTAGCTAAATAAAATCGAAGCTATTAATATATGTGTAAAACTTGGACACTATGGTAGCAAGTAATTCCGTATTAGTTTGTTTATTAGATATATCACACAGTGAAACAGTATTATTTACTGGATGACATGGTTTCGAACACAACTTATTGTTCATAATCATATCAATTATAATCACACGACTTCGAAACTTGAGTTTTATAGTTTTCTTTGATCTCTCCTATTTGTCGTCATTGGGGTAGTAGAATTTTCCAGAAATCTGGGACAGGTGTTGAATCATTCCTATTACACGTATTTGCAGTTGATTCCGTTATGAATCTCTCCCTCCACTCTGTTACATTAGATTTTAAAACCATCATCTTACCTTATCCTAGTGTATGATTGTGTGTAATTTCATGTAGTGCTATAGTTGAACTATTCTCCAGATTTCTTATCTTATCAGCGTCAACTAATCTAGATTTTGCTAGGTTATTGTGCTCCACTAGTCTAACTGACCCCATTCTGCTACTTTGACCTACGTATTTGACCTGACAATCATTCAAGCAGATTATTAGATAAACTAAATTGTTTTGTTTTTAAGACTCCACAGGATCCTTTAACCGACAAAGTTTGTTTCTAATTGATTTTGTGGGTTTGAATACCAGCCACTTTTATTCCTGCATTGCTAAGAATTCTCCTTAAGGTTTCCGAGGTTGCTTCTTTGTATGGAAGTACTATTGATGATTTAAATTCCCTATTGTTGATATTGTCATTATTCTGTACATTTTTGACATGCATATCGTCATTAATATTATTATCACTACTATTGTTATTTGTTTTATTTTTGCATTTCCCTACCTACTTTCTGACTAATTTATCAGGGTAGTTATTAAGTTTCAAAGCTTCTCTTATATGCCTCACTTCCTGTCTTAGAGATTGATAACGGAAGCTTTGTTTGTCGAATCAACTGCAAACACGTTTAATAGGAATGATTCAACACCTGTCCCAGATTTCTGGAAAATTCTACTACCCCAGCGACGACAAAGAGGAGAGAACAAAGAAAACTATAAAACTCAAGTTTCGAAGTCGTGTGATTACAATTGATATGATTATGAACAATAAGTTGTGTTCGAAACCATGTCATCCATTAAATAATACTGTTTCACTGTGTGTGTGGTATATATTATAAACAAACTAATATGAAAATCGAAGCTGATGGTTGAAAGTGTTACTGTTCACAGATGCTCACGAATGACAGTGTCCTAAGAGGGCTATGCATAATAAATGGTAGATTATCAAATATATCTATATTAACATCATGCCTGGTTTATTAAAAGAACTGTTGAATAAGACGTCTTATTTCCATGAAGCAGTATTGTTTTGCAGCGTAGTAGTAATACCCGTGTTGTTTGCTACTTGAAAGCGATGTTAGCCACCTCAAAGTGTGCTAAAGCGTGATTAAACCGATGTCAGCGGGAAGGTGAATCTTATCATCTTTCAAGACCATTACAGCGACAAAACAGGACCTACAAAGGAGAAACAAGTCATTAAGAAAATACTCTTTCGATCCGTTTCAACACAAAAATATTGATTTCGATAAAGTGTTATACAGTGATATTTATTGAAAACGTTTTGAGCACAATTTATTGCTCATAATCATATATTTATATTGCAGCTTGATTCCACACAGTATTTTTGATACAAGTATGAAATTTTCGGCATGTGATATCGGTAGCCTAAATTTAGCAGGCCGACCATAGGTATCAGGTGTGCGTCGGCTGGGGATCGAACCCCGAACCATGTGCATGGTCGGCAAGCATCCTAACCGCTATGCCACCGACGCACACAACTTTCCAACTCCATTTATATAATTCTATCATTTTTCACCGCTTGACTTGACTGGTAATAGTAACACTATCAATCAAATGAATTTAGAAAGTTGTGTGAGTAACTTGATATGATTATGAGCAACAAATTGTGCTCGAAACGTCATCAGTAAATATTACTGCATAACACTATGAGACTTTATCAAAATAAATTTTATCCACAATGGAATTGTACTCTACCACAGGGCACAAGCCCTACTCTTATGTCAATGATACAAAAAATATTGAATGCATGGACCACAGGCTAACTGTTTTAAGGAATGTGCAAACTCGAGTTGATTTTCATGAGTGATCGGCTGAAGAGACTGAATTAAAACTGACCTATAAGTTGGTAAAGAGAAGACCGCATATTTATATAATCATAAACAAATACACCCAAATTACATCATAAATATTTTTTTGTTATAGTAACAAGGTTAATATGGGCGTTAGACCGATGAAATTCTATCTGCTATATCGCCAAATATGTATAACATTCGAAGGAGTGATTGCTTGTATGAGTAATCACATTTTAATTCAGTGCATTAGTTTGACAGTTGTAAACAACTCGCAGAAAGGTGTATTGATTTTACTTCCGTCAAGTGAAGCCATTCCTCCCTATGGGCATTGTGTTTTAACTAATCCTGAATACATGCAAAATTAGTGATATTTAGGAAAGATCACCGCTTTGGTTACTGAAGTTTTAATCATTAACTCACTTTAAATCAATTAACTGACATCCTCCGTAATTTTCGATTGGTTGTCCAAAAAGTGATTTTATTTGCCACTGTTGAGGCGATAGTGTGAGGGACATAAACTTTATATGAGGACAAACAGGTTAGCTCATTTTAAGTATATGAACCAAATTAATAATAAATTTTTGTCGTATGTGTGCAAGGGGAGTTGGGATTTATTACTAATCAATCGATCAATCAACTATTTTGGGGTAATTTTCAATCGAACTATTATTTCGAAGTTATATTTTGTGAAGATCTGTTATCCGTACTAGTTAGTTTATGTGTTGATTGACTCGTCCGAGAATGGATAGTGGTTCATCAGAACTTATCAAAATGGGGGCCCCATTATCCGGAGAGAATGAAAAACGTCAATTATTTTCAGTGAGTGTAAACATTCATTTGACATTTTTACTTTATTTGTTCTTAAAAGTAATGGATACATTTGTCTTTATGCAGTTTAATTTACAAATTACTGCGGGCTACTTATAAATTAAAAAACGTATTTGTGGAAGGTTTTTACCTCAGTAACTGATATTATTTATTTATTTATTTGGGGGCATGTTCCCTTCCTCGTCTTAACACTTAGTATTAAATTGGAGAATTTATACACAGTTCTAGACAGTTCTACTTTTGTACTGATCATCCTTAAACACAATTACAGACAAACACAACAAAACACTTTGAGCATATGGCTCATCCAGTTTATCAGTATTTTGAGTAGATTGTATTTATAAGTTGAAACGAACTCACGAAGTATAGTGGCTTATACACCTCAACGGAATGCTGTTAATTAAGATTAAATAATTCAGTCGACTGAATCTGAACTAAAGCTATAGTCAAAATTTTTATTGTAAGCATTAAAAAGTAAATTTAGCTTAAGTGTTTGAAATTTTTAAAAATTCTCATTGAATTTACGTTTATCTTATAACTATCGTAGAGATTTCACCTAGATATTTAGTTTCAAGTAGTATAGTTACTAATATTGTGAGTGAGGTGAAAATAAGAAAGTGCAATATTTAAGGGCGATTATGCGGCACGTCCCTTATTGAAGTGGCGCCACCTGCTTTATCCAATGGGTATTAGCGTGTTTCAAAATAAATATGGCCAAATACACTAGCAAAATTCAAAACTATACACTCAACTTTTGAACTTGCTACCTCCTTCAATCCATTACATTACGCAGATATCAGTATCAGGCGACATTTTCCGACAAAAGTGCGGCGAATGTAACACAGTTGAAGAATATAATGTCACTGGTATACATGTATGTCGGAAAAATCTTTTAATGCAAAATTTCACTTGGAAAGCATACAAAAGTATAATTTTTCATTCAATTCGCCATAGCAATGGACTTCAATGCTACGATTAACACTGATATGCAATAAAGCCACTCAATATTTTATTCCCAGCTGCTTAAATTTTGCATTAATTTCAATATTAAGACATATAGATATGGTTGTAGAGCATGTTTATTGTTGTAATCTTCAGAAGAATAAATATTTTGTGTAGACTTGTTAAAGCGACGTTTCATAGGGTAAATTTTGCTGAGAGAATGCTGGATGGACACTCAATTTTTACTGGAAAATATTCCAGATTATTTGTAGAAAGAATTGATGAGTTTAATTCCTCTTAGTCAGAATAGGAAGATAAGAAAGCTCGTCACCTGAAGCCAACAGATAGCAACTTATCATACTTTCACCTAGATATCAGTAATACTTGGTGTTTTTAGATAAATTACACAGTGGTAATGTGTGTCGGTGGCATAGCGGTTAGGACGCTTGCCGACCATGCGCATGGTCTGGGGTTCGATACCCGGCTGACGCACTCCCTTACCTCGCTAAGCCACAAATAATGCTAGTGAAGAGGAAGGGTTTGGCATGAGGCTAGCAACCTCATCCTGTAAAAATAAACACTGCTACAGAAACTTCAAGCCTCTAGCTTGAAGCCTTATGTTCCACTGGGGAACGTGAAGGAAAATAAAAAAAACACAGTGATAATAAGAGTTTATAGTTTTATACCTTTGAATTGGATTCAAAATATCTACAAATAAATGGTATTAACCAGCATAGCCGAACATCGTGTGAATTAACATTTTTATCTTTCATTGCTTCGCTTCTGAATGAAATGTAGAGCCTCAATAGTACATTGTATCAAGTTCTCTGTCTTCATTTTTAACTAGCCCAACAATTGCCCACAAATTTTCACTCTCCCTCTTTACGTGATATCCATATCATCTTTGGACGCCCAATCCCTCGTCTTCTGTTCGTGTTCCACTGTAGGGTCTTGTGTGTGATATCACTCGGTGGTCTCCTCCGCTTATGAATGTCCAGTCCATCTAGGTTTTCTTCCACATATTTGTTGGACAACGGGTTCTTGCCCGGGTTAGTAGCCTGCAGAGTCCTCTGTTGCTTATAATTTCCAGCTGGTCATCTGATCTTGAATGTCGAGCCTGTGAAGGGAGGCTGATGATAGTTTTCAGTAGTCCTTTGAAAATGCTTTCGGCAACTCGTTCACCAAGTGTTTAAAGTGTCTACACTGGGTGAATTTTAGAAATTCCTCATACGTGTGTTGGAATATTGCTGCAATAAAAATTCTCAACCATGACGTCAGAAAGACAGCTATAACAATCATATTTATATCAAGTACTGGTTTGTAGGGATTTGATTGATTCGTTACAGGATTTCGACATGAGCTGACATCGGTTAGAGAATCATTGGAAAACCACCTAAGAGTACTGGACAACTGTTTCATCCGAGTTCAAAACTCTTCATCAGTACGCACCCACCACAGAGGTTCGAACCCAGGACCTTCGGGTTACAAGTCGAGCTCGTAGACCATTAAGACATTGGGATTCGAATCGATGGCCCGTGAATTCCAACTTCTGCCAATTCACGATATATCGCGACCCCTAGTCAATGTCTTCGGCGAGTATTTGTCATCACGCCCGACATGCTGTACCCTACTGGTCACGATTTCCCACTAGAACCCCAGGCAACTACCTACCTGAAGAGGACCAGTCGCTAGTGAGTATCTTATTGATATTCAAGTATTGGTTTGTAGGGATTTGATTGGTTGGTTACAGGATTTTATCATGGGGTCCTAGGTTCGAACCCTGTTGGTGGGTGAGTACTGATGAAGAGTCCAAAACCTAGATGAAACACCTGTCAAGTGCTCCCAGGTTTTCCAATGGTTCTCTTACCGATGCTAGCTCATGATGAAATCCTCTAACCAATCACATTTATACTTGAATTTTTCAAACTAACGTCATAATATGGGTGAATAAATAATTCTTGTTATACTGGTGTTGTCCTATCTAGTTTCAGATAAATATAATTTATCTTATATTGTTAAAATAGTGTTTGAATATGAAGACTGTGTGCAAGAAACTCTCACTTTTCATTGGGTTTTCAAATGTTCTATGTAAATACTTGCACCATATACACTAGATTTCAGTGACTTGTTTTGTTTATAAATTGAAGAATAAAAATGAGAGATAGTTGAAATCAAAGAGAAAAATCATAACTCAGATGGAAGTTTCTCCTCTTGTCATATTCTGCGATATTTTTAGTCAAACAATCCAGCTCATATAAATCGCCAACACCAAAAGTAATTGACAGTTTATCGTGCCACTTCTCTATTACTTAAACCTAAGACACTCACCTTCTACAGAGCTTAAATCTCATGCCTGCTCAGAAACACCTCTATCATTATTTTTGTTGATAAAATTTTTTATCCTGACAGCATGCTTGAAAAATTAGCTTTATGAAAGATTTCTACTTCCCATAGACTTCGTAAATGAGAGCTATTTTGAATACTGTTTATGGCTATTGTGATATGTCTTAGTTATTTCATCATTATCTGTGCTTAAAAATTGTACATTAGTGGCATCCAAGCTGTCTCACAGGTTATGCCTACACACTAGTAATTCAGGAAATCTATCTTAGACTTAGCTAATAGCTGGTGTTGTATAATTATGCATTCATGAGTTTGGGTGTGCAGTAACTTGATTTTATAGCAGTCGGCATCACTAGTTGAAGTTAGGATCAAATTGATGTTGTTTCAAGCACTATCCAAAAGTCATTTCACAAGCGATTTGGAGAAGGACTCATTGGCATTTAGCCACTGTGGTCCAATGTTCAACACTTTTCAACTTCACCCAATACTTCATACAGTTGAAGTCATCCCATAATGTAAACTATCTTGAGACAAATATTCAGGTTTATAATTTAACATGCCTTAGAGTGTAGGTTTGAATGTGGCTGAGGATAGATTGTTGCAGAAAAGTGAACTCAACTTACTCTGTGAGACGTATTTTATGATTAACGGTTCATTACGAATAAAAAAACAGCTTATAAGTTATTAAACAAGATAATCGAATAAATTTATAACTTATACGAATAATAAGAATATATTATTCACTAATACATGTATATTATTTCAAACATGAGATCAACGGTAATCCGATTAAATCAAACACTGTTTCTGAACATCTATTGTTCTAAATTTAATCATATATAGGATAGATATATAGGAAATTTCTTATTTACTCTAGGGAATGCGTTAAACTAAATGAATATCTTTGATATATGTATATTTTTTCAACTCTATCAAAAGTCAATATAAATTAATTGAAAAATTCACTATATATTTCTCAATGCTTTAATAAGCAAAATGTTTTTGATCAAGTAAAACAAAGTTCATTCAACTGATCAATATGTTTTGCCTATTGAACTAACTAACTATTTTTGAATTCTCAAAAAGGAGGAATGAATAATTAAAGCCAGGCTGGAATTTTCTCTTAAACTATGCGCTTCGAAAACATTTAAATGAACCTACTAACAAATACTCACCACAGATAATCAAATTATTAGTAGAAAAATAATTAATGTGTGTGTATATATTTAAAAGTTGACAGAAATTCAACAAACAACAAGCATCGTCCTGAATCGGTTTATGAACTCATCCTAATGTACTGCTTATATTTGCCTACGATCATACATAAGGTCATCATGTTTTATGACTATATATATAAATCTCTTAAACCGATTAAATCAATTAAGTTTAGGTCTTGTTACACAATAAATTATTATTCCCTATAATTTTGTAGATCTTGCCCAATATTCAACAGTAACTTGTTTCTACTCACTTTTGACTGACTTTATTTACTTATATTGAATCTATAATGTTTTGATGCACACTTCCGGTGATCTTTCTACTGAAATTCAGTAAATAACAATTTATGATCACCAGTGTTAAGTATAAATGAATGTATATCCTGAATTCAATGTCTTTCTTCGGTTGTTTTACATCGTATCCAATTTTTTTCATTTTTTGCTTTGAAATAATGGAGAGGATTTTCAGCTGAGGTTGATGTTTTTGAT